CCCCCAATCCCTCTCCTGGGCATTGGGTATCCACAGGCTGCACCCATTCAGAAATAACACTATCATATTTTATTTTAATAAAAGCACAAGGGTGAACCAAGCAGCTGCAGTGAAAGGCACAACAGCAGGGAGACCTGCCTTGCCTTTTCAGTGTGAGCGCTACGTGGGATTAGTAATGTTATACAGATCCTTTCACCACTTGCCTTTCACTTGTTCATATTATGGTCTAGGTCAGCAATGGCCAAAAAAGTTTATTAAGAAGCGATAGCTGCTTGGTGGTCTGTGCAGGACGGCACGGCGCTCTCGGCAGGTCCAGCTGTGCCTGCTGTGCCCCAGCTCCCCCCAGGCCCCCTAAATCAAGGCACGAGGCCATGCCAGATTGCTGCACACATGGGGACCTTTCCTGACCACGTCCCTGCGGTAGAAGAGCTGGCCACACACTAATAAGGTTTTATCAGGGCTAGGGGACCAAACGTGGGGCTCGATGGTAAAGTCATCAGAGAGGCCCAGGGGTTTGCACTGGTCACCCCCGAGCCCTGGGTGGGAAGCTGAAGGCAGTGTTACAGCAACACAAATGCTCTCGGAGCTGATGACACGCCAGAGCTGAATCTCCTCCAGACCCACGTTTGTAGAGAATGGGAATAAATGTGAATAAAAAGTCACAGCCCCCCCCCCAGGACTCAGCATCCTGCTGAGATTCACAGCCAGGGAGCTGTGTCGGACCAAGGGTAAAGGGTAAACATTGCTTGACAGGCTTTATAGAAGCCCAGACAGAGCTTGTGCTCTCCAAAACACTCTTCCCATTAGGTCAAATGAAACACCAGTCACATTTTGGGGTATTTTTCCTCCAAAGCCAGCTCCCAAGAAATGAGGCATCTTAAATCCAGATGTGCACAGCATCTGAAGACTTCACTTATTCTCAGCACCTTCGGAAAAAGGCAAGCTGGTTTTGGCTGTTGGCTGAGGTTGGGCTTTGGATACAGAAGGATGGGCAGCCCATCTTGAAAGCCCTGGCCACGCGGGCTTCACGCCAGGGCAGCTCTCAGTTCTGGCACGCTGTAGATCCTCCACACATAGCGCTCGTGCTGGGATTTGTTGTCCAGTCTGTTCCCTTCAGTGGGCCGCGTGTGGCCACAAATGGAAATATGGGTAGGTTTGAGGATCGCCGTTTGCAGCTCTCACTGACTTCGCGTTTGCCCCGTCAGAAACTCTCCAGCACCATTATTCATTGATTTCCCTCTGATCCTAAACCAGAGAGCCAAGTGCTTCCTGGAAGGTGTTTGGGTTTCCTCGAAAGGCTGCACCCGTGACACCCCCAGATATCCTTGTAACCAGCACATCTTTCTGGCAAAGTACCCCAAAGCAGATTCCCTCCGATTCCTTTACCTAACATAACCCACCCCAGAACAGCAACTGGGATTGCCATTGCCTGAGGAACAGCAGCTGCAGCTGCGTTTGCAAGCACAGAACTCCAGGTGCTTACAGTGATTTTCGGTGCTTATGCGTATCAATACACACATTACAGAAATCTTAATTTTTTGCTGAATTCTGGACATCCAGGCGACTTGGAAAAAAAAAATAAAAAATCCCACAACAGTGTTAGTTGTGCTTTCTGACACCACGTACTTCTGAAAAGACTGACCCTGCATCTCCACAGACCATGCCCGCAAAGGTATTTGTGTTACTGTTTCATAAAGCTAAACACCTGCACAGAATTGGGCCACCACTTGGACATCATATCTCACCTGAAACTGAGATAGAGCCATCATCTCTTTTACCTCCCAAGGTTGCCTCCTTGGACCACCACCTCTACTAATCCGTGGCCCTGCCCAGGCAGCAATGCAATAACGCTCCCCGGTTCATGCTAGAGGTATTCAAGTATTTAATACCCAGCACACATCCAGAGGTTGGGTTTTGAGCATCCAAGGCATCCTCATTTCCATCAGCCAGCACCGCACGAGGCAAGGCTGTGCAAGATCAAAGGGATGTTCGGGAGGCCCCAGCAGCCCGGGGTTCAGCCCCATTGCTTCCTCTCGTCAGCCCTGCCACGCTTTGGTGTCCTGCAGCTCTTGGGCCAGGGCCAGCAGATCCCAGCCCAGATGGCTGCTGTGGAGGAAAGCAGGGCTGAAATGACATCTAGTGGCAACCAACAACTTTCTCAGACAGCCTGGGGACACCTCGACAGCCCAGCCCTGTGGCTGTCTGCGTTATAAATCAGCTTGGAGCCTGCTCCTTGCACTGCTGATGCTGGAAATGCTCTTCCCCAGCTCTGCAAGAAAAGCATCAACCGTTGTATTTCATTATCCAGGAGTGGGAAAGCACCCAAAGAAGACGCAGCTGTATTTTGGGAAGCCTGCTCAGAGATTTACACAGTCATGCTATCCCATTAACGTGGAACACACGCACTAAGGGCAAAGAGGACACCAGGCTGCCCCTGTGTCTACAGGAGCCACGTCCATCACACCAGCATGGAAAACTGGATTGCAGCACAACCCTGGAAAGGCTCATTCCCAAACCACCTGCCCAACATCCTTTAAAAACCTCAGGAGC